CTAATCCCCAGCATAAGTAATTCTCGTCCCGCTGAAATGCTTGTCCACACATAAGATGGGTTACTAAAAGTGAGCTGGCGCAAGGGCGTGCTCGATCTATAATACCTGTCTCTCATAACACGAGCTACCAGAGAATCAGGATTTTGAACTAATCTCCATAGTTGCTTTGCTAATAGCGCCAAGTTGAATTCGTGTATCATCCAGAAGCCAATCACTCCTTCCTCTCTGGATAAGCATAACTTATCCCATGTTGTCCAATGCAAACCCCTTTTAGGGGGGTTTGAGCTCCAGCAAAACTGTGCAATGGCACTAGCTAAGTTCTCGCAAATCTCTAATGGAAGGAGAAAGCAGGACATTACATAAGTTGAAAGAGCTAGCAGTATTGACTTTATCATAACTTTTTGCCACCTATTTATCAACCACATTAACACATTTTCCAATAAAAATTATAAAGAAAGTTACTCAGAATAACCTAATCTTTTACTTAATTACTAGCTTATCTTCGTGTAATCAATATAAACTAAACATGTATACAAAAACTAAAAACTCAATAGTCCCTCTTAAGTAAAACTTTGCCATTTTATATTTAATTCATTAAAAATAAAAAAACTTTAAAATAATAAAATTTTGAAAAATTTACTCAGAATAACTCTAATTATTTTCTTAAATACTATACTTTATGTAATCAGTATAATCTAAAATAGGTATACAGACACTAAAAATCTCAATAGTTCCTCTTAACTACAAATTTTTTCATTATACCTTTAATTCATTAACAATAAAAATTTTAAGAAACATAAAAAAAAATTTAACCTTCTTCTCTTCATCGACAGTATCGAGACGAACAAAACTTAGAGCTTGAATGGTTGTTGCCGTGGGTACTTTCCACATCACTAATTAAATCTACAGAATTATTTATAAATCTATTTAAAAAAAAATATGTTCGTCGCATCTTAGAAAAGAACCTTTATGAAAGTGATTTACAAAGCCAAATACGTACATCCTAGTTTTATGGGCTTTCAAAAAAAAAGGTAATATTTGATTTATCATTTTATTAAAGAATAGAACAAATAATAAAATCCTAGTAACAACTATACACCTTTGTAAACTAAACACACACACACACAAACATATATATATATATATATATATATATATATATATATATATAACAAGAATAACAACTAAAATATCATTTTATCAACCAAAACGTTAGGAGAAAAATAATTCAGAAAAATGGTTAAAATGCAGAACATCGTATACATATTATCAATTTTCTATAATTCAAAAAAATATGTTTTATTTATTAAAAATTGTCAAAGATGGTTAATCTACTTTATAGAAACCTCAGAATTATTATTTGTTATTTATTCGGCAAAATAAAATTTGTATAAAATTTATTTTCCTATTTTTTATATATTATTTTATATATGTATCATATTAGTCTATAGCTGATTGATACCAATCATATTTTAAAAGAAAAGCTACAACTCAGATCTTACAACCAAACTTCTACAAAAGTAAAATCTACAGCTACATCAAAAAATTTACAGCTTTAATTCAACGGTCAAAAAAAAGTTACAACATTTACTAATCAGACCCTTAAATTTGAGAGATGTCGGATGAATTGTTGTCGGCTGCATAATCTTCTACCTCCAATTAGAATTGACTTAACCGGTGAAGAATTTGATATCTCCGGCGAGTGTTGGTAACCTTCTGATACGTCTTAAATTGAAGGATCACTCTAAGGTTGGTAGACTAGATAAGCCGTGCACCGAATGAGCTAGAAAGCACAAACAATCAAAAAATGTGGATCGAAAGGTGACACAAGAGGTGTGGAATGTCTCTTGATACTACCAACTTCTAAACTCGAAGATATGACACACTCCGATGAATCAAAAGATAAAATGTTCGATGAAGAACAAATGTTTCAACAAGTTAAAAGAAAAGATTTTTATTAAAAAGTTGAATAGTTTGAAATAATACAAAGCAAGCCTTTATATAATAGGCTGTAGGTTAGACCAAAGGTCTAAACTTATTGTAGGAAATAAAAATATCATAAATATGATGGACTTAACCAAAGACTAAGACTTGACCGGATTTTGAAGGTTACTGTCGAAAAACTCTTCGGCTGGTTGCGGCCTTTCGCATGGTTGAAGATCTCAGAATTACCTTCAGATTGATATATTATACGACCATGGCTTATATTTTCTTGGTCAGCTTTTCTTGGACAAATCCAAACACTGATATCTTATTGAGCATAAGGCCTCCACGTTCTGCATCAAGCCCATTAGCTTCTCTCGGTCTAGACTTCATGGATCAAACCGATAAGGCCCATAAACAGCATGTTAAGCCAAGCAATGATCAGTTGTCAAGCTGGTTTGTTTCTCATTTTCATACCTTGGTCAATGATGCTGGTCCGGGTCGCATCATTCTCTCCTCCGTTAAGAAGATTTGTCCTCAAATCCAGACCTTCTAAGATGAATTAACCGACATGGTTCTGATCAGCCAAGGTGTTTCCACTATTCTTGTGCACACACGGCCCTATTCCAGGCTCAAAGATGAATTGTTGTAGACCTTCTTCAGGCCTAAGTAGCTCCACTTGGTTGTACTCGTTGCAAACGAATGGCTGAACCAGTTTAGCACTTGATAAAGAACCGAGAATATCACCTGATTCATAAGCAGGTGTGATATCCTTTTCATGATTAGCTTCTGGTTCTCTATCAACCACATCTTCAGCCAATTTTTGGACAGCAAGGAGAACACTTACAGCCTCTGGTTCTTCCTTTTGATGCAGCTGGTCGTCCATTGATTCTGCTACGACATAAATTGTCGATAGCTCCGGTTCGATATCTTTGTCCTTTTGATCTTCTTCTAAAACTGAAGATTGACGTGGATCTGTGATCCTTAAATGGATCTTAGCCTTGAAACTCTCCATAAATCTCTCAAAACCCTCATTCCTCTTTTCTTAAACTCTGGCCGATGGAGTTTCTACAACCGGTTTCAATAATGGCTTTTGGACTGCCTTCTTTGGACTGTTTGGTTTAAATCCATTTGATCTGGAACCAAGGTAAGATTGTGTGGCCTCTTTTTTACAGGTTTTTCCACTTGTCTCTCTCAGATTGTGACTTCTTCGCTTCCCTCTCTTGGTCACACTCATATTCTGCTATCATCTCGGCTGTGCATTTGTTGTACCTCCATTCTTGCAACTTTAATCTTGTGTTTTGCGCGCGGCCTCCTCTTCATGGTTGATCAATAGCCCAAACACAGGTTATCTCTTAGAAGATGAAGAGTTAAGAATTATTGGCTTCTCTTCATGGTTTCTCTTCAGTAATCCAAAAGACACATAAGATCTCTTAGAAGATGAAGAGTTATGAATGGCTGACTGTGAAGAATTCTGAACCTCAAAGTGGCTTTGATGCCACATGATACGCTCTAAATTGAAGGATCACTCTAAGATTGGTAAATTGGATAAGCCTTACACCAAATGAGCTAGAAAGAACAAACGATCAAGGGATGTGGATCGAAAGGTGACATAATAGGTGTGGAAAGTCTCTTGATACTACCAACTTCTAAGCCCGAAGATATGACACACTCCGACGAATCAAAAGATAAGATCTTCGATGAAGAACAAATGATTCAACAAGTTAAAAGCAAAGGTTTTTATTAAAAAGTTAAATGATTTGAAATAATACAAAGCAATCCTTTATATAATAGGTTGTAGGTTAGATCAAAGGTCTAAACTTATTCTAGGAAATAAAAATATCATAAATATGGTGGACCTAACCAAAGACTAAGACTTGACCGGATTTTGAAGGTTATTGTCGGAAATCTCTTCGGCTGGTTGCGTCCTTTCGCATGGTTGAAGATCTCGGAATTGGCATCATATTGATATATTATACAATCATGGCTTATATTTTCTTGGTCGGCCTTTCTTGGACAAATCCAAACACTGATATCTTATTGGCATAAAGCCTCCACGTTCTGCATTAAGCCCATTAGCTTCTCTCGGTCTAGAACTTCATGGATCAAATCGATAAGGACTATAAAGAGCCCTTTAAGCCAAGCAATGATCAGTTGCCAAGCTGGTTCATTTCTGATTTTCATACCTTGGTCAATGATGCGGGTTCGAGTCGCATCACCTTCCTTCGACGAGGCGTGATTTGGCGTCTTGTTATCTCTGGCGTCGAACACTGCATGATGAGAACCACCGTCGCTTCACCTATCATCTCTGTCTTCTTCTCTACGAAAAATTGAATTCTGTATTGGACCTAGAACCATCTTGATCTCTGTGATCTTAGCACCATATTATTAATTTCTGGTTTGTTAATTCATTGTGTGCTTTAGGTAATTTCTTGTTCTTTGTTCATAGATTCTTGCATTGCTCTGTATAGTTAGTGTTTCTATTTATTGGTTCTATGCTTCTCTGATTTGAATACATCTGTCTTTAATCATTTATTTGCTTAACATTGTTGCTTGTTTTTTTTTTGTTGAGCTTTGATTGATTGATTAATTGTTTCCTTTTTGTGTGAGCTTTTGTCTGAAAATGGCTTGTTCTATATCAATTCTCTGAATATGATGTCACTCTTAACAACCTTACCTCTCGCTTTCAAATTTGGAGACTATAGAGACATATATGTATTTTTTTTACTTGTTTAGTTTCATTGCACATTTGAAACAATGGTACCTCTGTTTTTTGTTTGTCCTGCAAACATCCAAAGCTGCAATCATACAACGTTTAATGAATTTACTTGACTCTTACATGATAACTCTTTCTTTTTTTCATTTATTATAGTTGTATATATAATTTTCTTGTACACGAGTTTGTTATTTTTGATTTCATGGTAACTATTTGTTGTTTTTCATTGCTAGATATGGCTTCTTCTAGCAGTAAGAAAAACTATCCGCTTCTACTCTACAAAAAAAAAGGAAAAATTAGTAATCCGCAAATGAGTATGAGCTATTTTAGCTGTTTTCAAATTTTCAAATGGTGAAAACAGGTGTGGGACTGGATGCACGGGACGTCGTAAAGAATTCTGTAATTGGACTATTTCTTAAGTTTTATGAGCTCAACTTCACATGGTGCGCAAATCTTGTCCATCAGCTTCGATTGTGGAGTCTATACCATAAAGTATATTAAGTGTTTGGCGATTGGTTGTACTTTCGAAGGGTTAAGTGACGAGATGATTCAAGACCTTCAACAGAAGCTAGCTGCTGAGATTTACGATGCCATTGGAGAGTTTCAAATCACTCATTTATTCCCCAATTCATCAAAGTAGTATTGCAACGTTTAGTCTTATTAGTGAAGCATGTAGTCTATTTTTTTTAGTTCCTGCACTTATTTTTCTAGTAAACATTTAGTCTGATTAGTTTTAGTTCATGTATTTATTTACCTAGTAATTGCAATGTGTAGTTTTATTAGTGTATCAAAATGTGTTTCAGCTTCAGTTTGCTGTCTATTTTACGTACATGTATTTAAAGAAATGTAAGTAGCACCAACTTTTTTTGGACAAAATTTAAGTAGCACCAACTAGAAACAAAACAAGATGAGGAAAGTATCCATCACGTTATATACTCAGGGAAAATTAATACATGATGAAAACAGGGAGAAAGATTAAAGGGACAATGCAAACATAACATATTTTCTAACAAACTCTCAAGAAACAGACATGAAAGACAAGTAAAAGCCCTGGTACAAGAGTACAACACAGCACCTGCAATTTCAACAAAGAATTGTTCATAACCAGAAGAACCGGAAGCAAACTTATTTCTATATAAATTAAGAAAGCATATAAAAGGACTAAACATAAGCTAGACTTGGACCTTGTAGGTCTTACAGTTATGTTTTTGTTTTGGTTTGGTTTACTTAATTTATTTCGATTTACTTAACTTAATTTTTTGGTTAGAAAGATTTCAGTTTATTTTAATTAATATTATCGATATACTAAAAAATTCATAATTTAATGATTAAATCTGGTTTTCAAATAACCAGTTTGGTTAAGTGGAATTTAATAATTTGTCACTAAAGAATTAACATATCTGGTAAATCTTTATTATATATATATCACCAAAGTAAATCAAATCTGTTAAATCTTCTATAATAAAATAGAGTTTTTTCTCTCTATAGAGGCAAAAAATGACACTTTTCATCCTCTCATTAGTTGAATATTTTTAGGCCCAATTATAATTTTATTTTATTTTCTTTGGATTTTTGTTGGCTTTTACAAATGATATAGGCTTTAATTAATATTATTATTCCAACAAAATCAAACATAAAATAAATTTTTCACCTTCAACATTTTCTTCATGATGGATGAAAATTTTGATATCAGTAGTTCATCTTCATCTTTTTCTTCGATATCTAACGGTCTTTTTTTCTTTCTCTTCTTCACTTCATTAGTTAATGCTTGATTTGTCGCCGTACGTTCATCTTATACCGATTATATCTCCGATGGAATTAGTGGTGGAAGTCTCGGCTCTGGATTTATTATCAAGACAGTGGTCTCGGTTGAAGATAAAGAGGAAGCATGTGAACATACTTAGTTCGTGGCGCTTGATAAAGTGTTTTTAATTTGGTTAATGGATTTCTTGTGTTTACTGCAGCGATGTATCTATCTACAGAAAATGAATTTCTTCTCGAGATCATTTCCCTTGAATTGTTAGTTGTTTGTTTATTTCCATGCTCGGAGCACACCCTCACGTTGTGGTTATTATGGTTAGGTAAAAATGTAGATTAGTTACTGAACTTTGAGATAAAGTGAATCGTTGTTTGGTTCTCCGAATCAGAAAGTGATACATTGAAAATGAATTTTTGTTTACTCAATAAGTCAATCATTTTTTTCCTCTAACAATATAACTTTTTCCTGTAAAGTTTGAGATTTGCGTTTCCTCTCTATGGGTTTTAAATTTTATGTGTTTGTTGTGATTGTTTAAATGTCTGGACTTCTTAGAGATGTAGCGACTGCACAAAGCTACCACATCTTTCAAACTCTTATGAAATCCTTTATATCTTTATATTTGGACTAGTTATATTATCACTACATTAAATTGTTCGTAAATGTTTTTATAATAAATTATATCTTTAAAACAAATCAGTTATAAACATAAATAAATTTTCCATTTTTTATTAAAAAAAATTTATAAACATAAATAAAATTTCCGTTTTTTATTAAACAAAAAATTAGTTAATTTAGTTATACTAATATAATTATATTTTAAAAAATTTGAAAGATAGATAAACTCAATAATAAATATCATATCATCTTCATATATCACCTCATTTAAATATCTAATTTTAATAATTTTGATGTTTAAATATATACTTTTAAAAAATAAAATAAATATTATTAACATTCTTTTAAGATTTACATGTGTGGAAAACTTGAAAGGTACACAAAGTTACATCATAAACTAGAAAATATAGCATATTTTAAAAAATAAAATATAATTAATAAATTTGATTATGTTAATATATTTATGATATATATAAATCAAAAACCAATCATATAAATCAGAGATCCACGATAATAATATGTTTGACTTTCTCCAAGCTAAATCATCACGGTAATAGAAAATAAAAAAAAACAAATGCAAAAAACAATATGTTCAAGTTTCAAATTTAATAAGTACGAGCAAACTTTGCTTAGTTTTTTGTTGTAGATGTTTGATGCATTAACTAAAATCAACTTACGCTAGCCTACAATGTTACTCTATTACCTTTCTCAATAAATATTTTCATTAACTCACACATAACTCAGCAGAAACGTTTTGTGCCATTTACACTGATATAAAAGGTTAGCGACCTCCGCTACAATCCAATAACCTCTTGCAAAATATATCTTTCAAAATAAATGTAAACCAGACATTCTCTAACATCGAAAACCTCTTTAAATAAATCGTTGGAGATATCATCCTCCGGTTAACCAATATGTAACTTCTTGCGATCATCACAATCCTTGATAAAGTGACTCAAAGGTCAAAACACAATGCCTACAAGACTATGATCTTTTTAGTCACACCGTTTAAATTCTTTGCCATTAAATAATCACACTTAATTAAATTATATATCACAACTACAAAAGCTCAAATACAATTCAAAAGAAAAAAGATGATCTTCATTCTTAATCGTTTTATCCAATGACTTAAACTTACCACAAGTAAAAATTACAATGTTAATTGCAAACAAAATTTTACAATAAGATTAGCATTTTCACGATTACATTTGATAAAATATATTCGTAATATAATACATGAAAAATACATGATAAAATGAGAAGATTAGAGGACTAATTTGTTATGAATGAGTGAAGAACAAAGAAAAATAAGAACAAGAATGGGGAGAGAGATTCAACCAGAAGAGAGAGAGACAAGAGTAAAGAGGAATATATTTTCTTAGATTCAAATGGATCATGGTTTACATCTTTAACTAGATAAGCAAGGACACTAAACAAATAGAATAAACAATTGTGGGGAGGAAGAAACAAAATGCTCCAGCCGGGTGAAAGGGACAGCTAGGCCAAGTCTATTTCTCCTTAACATAACATGTGATCTTCTCTTGTTTGAATCCCCAACAGCTCCAGCCACTTGCCCACTCAGATTTAAACACTTCTGGATCCTTCCAAGATATTATGGTTGAGATAAAAAAAAATGTAAACTAGCCTCCCACTTGCTCCTTACACCATTATCTCAACCTTATCTCTTTATTCTCTTCATGTCAATACTCTTCATCAAGTTTGACCATGTGGAACAAGTCAAGCTTGGAAGTCATGAAGAATTCTCTCATTAAAACCTCAGAAAGGTAAAATCTCATGGGATAAAACCCAAGCCAAGGAAAAAGAGTAGAATATTTCATGAAGGAGAGATCATTGACATGTGAGGTCTATGAGCCCAAGCTTAAGATGAATGAACTCACAAACCTTGTTGCTAGCTGCTTTGGTGAATATGTCAGCTAGTTGATCTTCACTTCTTGTGTAGCATGGAAGTATCACTTGCTGCTCCACTGCTTGTCTCACCTTGTGGCAATCAACTTCTATATGTTTTGTCCTCTCATGAAACACTGAGTTTGATGCAATGTGTATTTCTGCCTAGTTGTCACAATGCATAGTCATTGGTGTGTTGATCTCAATCCCCAAGTTCTTTAGCAATGCCTTGATCCATATAATCTCATTTGTAAGCTTCCTCATAGATATGTATTCTGCTTCAGCACTTGAGTAAGAGACCACCTTCTGTTTCTTTCTTTTCCATGTGACTAAGTTTCCTCCAATGAAGGTACAATAGCCACTGGTGGATCTCCTATAAATCATGTCCCCAGTCCAATCAGCATCACAATATCCTACAACTTCAGGGCTCTTGTTGCAAGCCATCCAAACTCCTTGACCAGACGCCTCTCTCAAGTATCTTAAAATCCTTTCTACCATGTTCCAGTGGTGAACCTTAGGAGCTCCCATGTGCTGACTTGCTTGATTCACAGTAAAACATACACCTGGTCGAGTAATGGTCATGTAGATAAGCTTGCCCACTATCCTTTTACACTTCTTGACATCTTCAAATGGGGTAGCCTCATACTCCCCCTCTTGCAGCACCTTGTAGCCTTCTTCTAATGGTGTCTTGGCTTGTCTACTTCCAAGGTTTCCTGCCTCATTTAAAATGTCCAAATGTCAGATCTAGTATGGATCGTACATGGACGGTAGTTGAAGTCGGCGGCTCTCCTAGGGTTCCCTCGTCTGGGATTGATCCCTGGGGAAGAGGATCAAGTTGGCCCTTGCGAACAGCTTGATGCACTATCTCCCTTCAACCCTTTGAGCGAAATGCGGCAAAAGGAAGGAAAATCCATGGACCGACCCCATCATCTCCACCCCGTAGGAACTACGAGATCACCCCAAGGACGCCTTCGGTATCCAGGGGTCGCGGACCGACCATAGAACGGAGGTGATCCAGCCGCACCTTCCAGTACGGCTACCTTGTTACGACTTCACTCCAGATTTCATTTTTGTTCAAAGGAAAAAACGCATGGAGCTGAAATAACTCACTCACAACACCTTTTAAAGGATTACGTGGTACAATTGCATCCAATAAGCCCTTACGTAATAAAGATTCAGCTGCTTGTGAACCTTCAGGCACGGCTTTTTCCACATACGGAAATATGAAATTCAGACGCATGTGACAACCCAAGGTCCTGAAAGGATCACTAAGGAAATACCGCATCTAGAGGGCCGTTTACTCCGAAATTTAGACACGCCCCTTTAAGACCCCGAAAAATTGACAAATTCCCTTTTATTAG